CAAACCATTCTATGATTCTAAGTTGCGTTGTTTAAGAACAAACATCTAAAATGTATTACTGACATGAGAAATTTGGAGTATAGACCACTACTCAATTTTAAAGAGAAACTCTTACAGCAGCACTTTCCTGAAACTACTGTGAATGTGCAGCTATAGTACCAATGCCCATGTATCTTACACCAAAGCAATACTAGGTAATGTTTTTGGACAATTTTAAATGAATGGACAGTTATCTCTCAATATATACAGCTAAACAGAAAAAAATTACCAGCATCAGTTTACTGCAGATACATGGCACGAGGTATCAAACTTGCATTGTTCAACTATCTGATCTCCTCCTTGATGACAAGAATTCATCTTTGTACACAAGTAAATTACAGTAGCTCTAATCTAGCCAAACATTATATGAGAAATTGGTAGCTAAAATGGAGAAGCAGATTAGTGTAAGACAGTAGAGAAACAAAATAACCAGCCAGATAGATAGGAAATAACTGCTGAAATGTGAAGCATTAATTTATAGGGATACTAGTAACTTTCTTGGGAATCTGTGTTAGAATTTATCTGGTTCAAGCCCAGCCGGCAACTCAGAACCACGCAGCCACTCACTCACTGTCCCCACTTCTTCCTCCCGCCGCTCCCGGAGGGACGGGGAGGACAATTGGAGGAATGTAACTCCCACGGGTTGAGATAACAGCACTCCAGTAACTAAGGTATAATACAAACCACTACTGCTACCAATAATAATGATAAGAGGAATAACAAGGGAAAAGGACACAACCGCTCACCACCCGCCGACCGATACCCAGCCCGACCCGAGCAGCGATCTGGGCCTTCTGGGTAACTCCCCCCAGTTTATATACTGGGCATGACGTGCTGTGGTATGGAATACCCCTTTGGCCAGTTTGGGTCAGGTGTCCTGTCTCTGCTTCCTCCCGGCTTCCCCTCCTCCCTGGCAGAGCATGAGACTGAGAAAGTCCTTGGTCAGAGTAAACATTACTGAGCAACAACTAAAACCATCGGTGTTATCAGCGTTGTACCCAGGTGGAAAGTCAAAACCACAGCACTGCACCAGCTACTGAGAAGGAGAAAAAATGACTGCTGTAGCTGAACCCAGGACATATTTTCATCAATATACTGCATAAAGTAGGCAATTTCTGTAACACAGTTGCTAAGAACTGTCAAAGTATAAAAGGATCAGAAAATCCAGAGTAGTAGAAAAAGGATAATATACAACCACATAAAGTACAAGGAAATGCATTTTAAAAATACTATTGAATCTTAATGCCACGAACAGGGCTTTTATCACTTAAAAAAATTAGATTCAGTCATCAATGTGACTGTAAGATGCGGGAGAGAGATTTCTAAGTAGATAAATTTTACTGTCAGTGTCCCAGAGTTCAGAGAGACAATTTTTCAAATACTGCATGAAGTTCTATTAACTATAACTGACAAGAATAAATAAATACTGAAATTAGGAAAGGTCCTGAGAAAGACAACCATGATGATTAGAGGAAATAGAGAAATGTTTATGTAGGAGAAAAAGTTGAGAGAATGTTTGATTTTATTGATAGATAGCAGGGGGCAAAACTAAATAAACTGATACTTCCCGGGACTGTGATCTGTGTTATGTTGGTCTTTTTTATTTATTTTTTAATAATGGCAAGATATAAATTGAATTCCATCTAGAAGATTGGTATAATCTATATAATGCCCTTGAATGTCTGCTGAATTGTTTTCTATCCTGTTCTCTACACACTATTTAATATGCTTGTCACTGAATAAGTAATTTTATCCTGAGTTATTTAGAAAGACTCTATGCGTTTTGTAGTTAATTAGCAGAGTTAAGCTACCTGTAAAGTAGCTCATATTACACCTCATGGTGTTTTTCTCTGTCAATCAGTACATCACTCTAGTCACCAGCATTGTGAGGTTCTCTCTTCAGCCTTCTCCAATCTTACCTAATGAAAGCAATTTTATTTTATCTGCATATCTCAGCCACTTAATAGTCTATATCTTTACTGAACCATTAATGAATATGTAAATGCTATGACAGTATGGTACATTTCACTGTCAACCTTTTGTCCTATTCTGAGGTGACCATTTTATTCCTTATCTCTCAGTTAACGTACTGAAATCAGAAGCACATCTTGCAGTTAACATAACAAACATTTCACCATTTGCTTGGTCTCTGCTAATTGTAACCTCAGGCAGTATCTCACATCTCATCTTTTGAGTGCTTAGTTTTCCCTGTAACTCTATAATAAGCATCTGATTAAAGGTTCTTGAATCTTAATCTGAAAAAGTTCAAGTGCAGTGAATGCAGCACAAGATGCTGTGAATCCAACAGAAAGATTGCAAATGATGGAGGCATATATATAGCTAATATGCCTATCTAACATTTAGACATTATTTACAGCATAAAAGCCTGGTAGTCAAAATGCTATATGGCATTTAGTTGGATTCTAGTAATTTCAAGATTAATTTTCCAAACATAGGTTTTATTTCTGTATTGACATGTAAAAAGATAAAAAAACACCATTAAGACTCTTCATATAGAGCTGTTCTAAAATATGCAAAAAAACCCTGTAAAGATGGAGGAAAGAACATAAGAAACAAGGCCAGCACAGGGAACAACACACAGCTATTTGGTGTGAAATATATTAGACGATACATGTTGCTTTAGGGTTGTAATGATAGTTTATTACATAGAATACACTGCTTTAAACAACAGAAACATAACAGTTATTTATGGGGATATATATCTGCCACTGGACTCCTAAAAAGTACTGAAAAGTGCTTCTAGGTTTCCTACCTGTACTGCAAACCCCTTTTGCTCCCAATACAACTCTGCTTCCCCTCCACGTGCCTTCTGTCTCACAAGGAGACAGTCAAAGCATCTGGGCCAAAAGGGATTTGTGTCATCCTTTAGTTAAGTCCCCCGCCTGGATAAGCAAAGGATCATGATCCAGGGCTTATCGCAGCATGTACATACTAGTTAGTCTAGACACAGCCTCCAAAACTACAGAATGGCCAAAGTCCCATTCTATAACTGAAAAACAGCACTTTCCTTCCTCAGGTATTTCTCTGACTTCATTGACATTGATGCTAGATACTAGGGAGTGTTAGGGACTAAAATCCAACCAATAAACTGAAACACTCTGTCTAATAACAATATACATTAAATATTTTCTGATTTTATATTTAAAATCATTTACTGAACATTGTAAACCATAGGTAAGTGCTTACTACACGCTTATAATATTAAAAAATGCTGTAAATAGGTATCCAAACTAATTCTAATAACAGATTGCAAGAGCCTGAAACGTATTGCATATGCCTAGGATTCTTACAATACCACATATTTACAAAAAAGTAAAAGACATGGACCACCTTTAAAGTACAGAGGTTAGAGAAAACCACACAACTAAAACTCTTAGTGTATGTATAAAAATTTGAGAGAGTAAGCTGTACTGCCTCAGAAGGGATTATGGCAAGGGCAGTCAGGAAGTCCACTGATACAGCCTGCTTTCTCAGTTCCTGTAGAATGCCAGTGGCAATGAATATACTCCTTTTTTAGTATCTGGTCGGTAAAAGACACAAACTTAATTTGGGGTCTGGATGATCCTATATACAGACTGAAAGATCTCTTTAAGCACATAAATATTTTGAAGTTGGCCTTTAAAGACTGAAATAACTGTTTTATAATGTTGATCTATATAAAATTAACATGACTTCTGTTTCATACTTTTCATTGTATTACAGCATTTGAATAGTATTTCCTTCTTTGCATTTCCAATTAAACATATCAGTTGATTTTGTTCTGGAAAAAGCATTTCTAGTGAAAGACAATTCTCAAACCCTATCTTCAATGTCACAAAATACAGGAGTCTTATCTTAGAACTCAGATGGGTATTTCAAATTTCAGTTCTCTGTTCTAACAAACAGTAGTTGTTTCTCTACATATTAGATGGTTGGTATATAACTGAATATCTCTGAACAGATAACATTTCAGGCGAAAGCTTTTTTAACCAAGAAATCACGTCTTAGAAGAACAGCTTTTCCTCCTATGTTGGTTCCCATAAAACTCCAAGTATTCATATGTATTTCAGCAGTGATATACAATTGTGATTTATATTTACCTAGGTTAGGGCTGGATTCACATTAAGAATTAATAGGTGTGGCATTTAACAGTTTATTTTGTGATTTATTATTTTTTTCTGAAGATGTTTTTACTAATCTAATACTGTAGAAGTTCCAGTATCTCTATTATAAGTCTTTCTCATCTTTACTGTTTCCATTGTCCATTGTACAAAAGCAAACTTCCTCTTCTTTCTCTTCTTCTTCTTCTTCTGGAGGAAGCGCATTTTCATTTTTCATATTCTCAGAGGCATTATGTTCAACGTTATTTAAAGAAGTGTTACACTTCAGAAATGTTTCAGAATGACAGGTTTCTGCTGGATCTGCCAACATGGGAGAATATTTTTCTCCAACAGTATGAATTTGGCTTATTCTTAAACTTTGGCATGTTTTTTGCTTTCTATTGGGTAGCTCAATATTTGTGCCTATCACAAGATCACTGGGTATGTGTTTGGCTATGTTATTTTGACATTTGCTGCCTTCCATGGGGTTTACATTCATGTCCTCTGTAACATGTATCTTCTCTAAACAGCTTGTGTCTTTCAGAGTTGATGATACAAATATTCCAAAGTTACTAATAAAATCTAGGGTGTTATTTGCATAAAACCTATTCAAAATATTATTGGCAATATTATTGATACAGTTATTCTTCAGAATCACATGATTATTTTCATCTGCTATTAAATCTTTGCCTGACCATTTTAAACGTTCACTTTTTCTGGCCAATAAACATGGATCCAGCTGGTTCTCAATATCAGATGCTTTTTGGTAGGCATACCCTCTCTGTTCCTCATTAATTGGTGTTATTGTCACCATTAGTATTGGACAATGTTGGCCACATATAGCATGGAGTTTATCCAGAGAGTCTTCTTCCTGAGGCGCACTTCTGTTAGCATTACTAGCATCAGTTGGCTGGGACTGTATGGGTTCATCACTTAAAGGCTGTCCCAATGGACGAACCTTGTTGTCAGGCAATCTAAATTCTACAGTTTGAAAAGGTGAAAAATTGGTATCAGCCTGTGTGAAACAATGTGTAGAAGATGGTTTGTTCTTTTCTTTCTTTGCTGCAGGAAGGGAAATGATCTTACTATCGAAGCTAGGTTTGCTTTTTGTATTTAAGTCATCCTGAAAGGGGTCTGAATCACTATTATGAGGCATATTGAAATAGTTGCAAAAATTTTCAGAGGGTTTAGCCATATCTTCAAGTTCTGAAGAAGAGATTTCATTGAGGTCTGGGTATTGATTCAGATTGCCAAAGTGTGAGTATGGAACATCATCACTGTTAGTATCAAGGACTGTGTCCGTTGATGTTGTATCCAAATTACCATACATTCCAACCCGTTCAGGTGGTGATCTTCTAATCAAATGATTTTCTTTGAGAAGCCATTTGCCTTTATCTATCAGTATTCCTTCATCTTCATTAGCTGGTATACTAGGTTGACAATGTTGTTTTGGAGATTCCGCTGAATGGTCAATAGTGTAACTTGTCTCGTCTCTGTTAAGAGTAGGTTGTGGTGTTGGTAAAGAAGTATTTTCTCTTCTTGATATAGTCTCATCTTTGTTTATGTTTACTGCAAATTCTTGTGATGGTAATGAAGTATGTGACAATTTCTCACCAGAACAAGACCTAGGCTCTTGAGAAAAATAAATGGTTTTTTCCATGACTGCAGAGTGGAATTCTTCAGTATCCTTTTGAAATACTTTCAACATATAAGGAAATCCTTTGTGAAAGTCAGGTTTAAATGAAGCTTCTGTCTTGCCATAAAGTCGTTCAATAGTTCGTTTTACATAGCCAGTGTTATAATGCTTTTCGAGTATTGCTTCCTCCCCACTTTCATTGGTCAGATCACTGGATGCTCTGAAGTTATAATCACTTTCTTCAGTATCTGGTCTGTAATCTGACCAGTCTGAAGTAGCAGGACTTTTTAAGCATTTTTTTACTTCAGAAGTGTCTAAACACATTTTATTATCCAGTTCTTCTACTTGCAATTTCTCTTCTCCTTCACTCATATCACATTCTGTAACTTGCTTTGATTCATAACAAAATGATAATGGAGAGACTGTAGATAACCGTTCAGAGGTTTCCTCACAAGTTTCTGCATCTTTGTCTTCCTGTACAGAATAATCCTCATTATATTCTACAGAGGTTTCAGTGGCTAATTTAAATTGGTTATTTGGGGTTTTCTCATTACCTGATGACTTGCAATCAACTTTTTCATCTTCACTTTTATCAGTAGTAACATGTATATCTTTTTCACATTCTAACTCAGAAGTATCCTGATCCAAAATATGATGTTTATCATTAGAAGTTACACTATGAACTGTCGAGTTAGGCTCTATTGAAGTTTCTGACTCTTCATTAGTGAATGATGTATTAGTGTTTTCATCTTGAGATTTTTTATATAGGCTATTGGGCATTTCTTCCTTTCTTTCATGTGACTCTATAGCTGATGCAAGGCTACAGGTATTTGAATTACTATTGGCATATTGACCATTTAGCTGTGTTTTGGGAGCACTCAAGTCTAAAGTCTCTGTTTCTTCACAAGGATCTTTCTGTATATCAAAGCAGGTTTCTAGTTCACCAGTCAATTTTAGAGCTTCTTCAGAATTTACAGTGTCCTTTGGAACACACGGTTCAACTGCCTGTTCATTTTCGTGCAGACCTAAACCATTATGAATTTCGGATATGGGCATATTCTCATGGCAATGTGAGGAGTCCTGCTTTTTTAGTTCCCTCCCAAAGGGTAATAAGTTATTTTCTGTTGATTGTTGAAAATGTGAGAAGGCAGCCTTCAGTTCATCAGCTTTTTCTATGACTGTAGTTTGTTTCAGAAACTGCAACTGTGTAAATATTTCGGAACAGCTACAGGTAGTTTTTTGCATATCATCTCTGATGGTCCCAATCAAATTGTCTCTCAGATTCAATACAAGTAGCCATGCTAGGAGGACATTGGAGGAAGAATTAAAAGCTGAAGAAGAAAGATCTGAAAGGGTGCAAGCTTTTCCTACACATCCATTATGTTCTTTCTGGAGACCAAGCAAAGTTGATTGTAGCTCATGCAGCAACATGATAGACATGCAATTATTCTGAACATCAATTCCCATTTTCTCATTGACAATTGCACAATCAACTTGAACAGCAACCTCAGATTTTTTTCTTTGACATAGGTTGGTATCTTGAATATCAACTTCTGAGATCATTTTATCATTCTCAGATGTTTCATGAAGCAAGTGTAGCTTAGCATCACGACAAAATTCTGACTTTAGTGAATACTTGGCTGTTTCTATTATAGTTGTATTAGCATGAATCAAGGGGTCAGTTTGTTTTTCATATGAATCTTTGGCTGATTGTTCTGAAGGTCCCAAATGACCAATCGGTTTTAATATTTTTTTCGTTAGATTATGTTCAAGCAGATGGTTTTTTGCAGTCACATGTCCTTTGTTTGCGATAGATCTTGTTTCTTTATATATAGAAGCATCAATATCTTCTTTAGGAAAATTACAGACATTGCTGTTCTGAACATTGCCTTCTTTTTTATGTATAGGTGGTAAGACAGAATTTGGTAAAAAGTTTTTGAGCCAAGTTTGGACATGGTTTTCAAGTGAATGCTCAACACCTTCCTCTTGAAAATCCTCTTGGTTTAGAGCCTCTAGTGTAATGGCATTCTCTGACATATTTAACTTACTTGACCCTTTACTCAGATTTTTCTTCATCCCCTTTTGTTTTTTCTCTTTCTTTGATGACAAATTTTCCAAAATATTCTTCTCCTTTTCTTTTTCAAAGTTAAGATTCTTTGGCACTTCTGACAATGGTTTTGAAATCACTGATGTGTTACATGTCTGTTCAAAAGAATTGTTTGTGAGATGTGTGCCTTCTTTCTCAGTACTCTGTGTATCCTGACCGTGTTCAGACTCATTGTTTGAATCAACTGTCACTAGATCATCTTCACTCTTTGCAGATGAAACTATACTATTTTTTTTGCCTGATTTCAATTTTGTCTTGAACAACTTATTACTTCTTGGTTTTTTGTTAGATGACAATCCATTTTCTAAATCCAAGTGGTAGAACTCATCTTCAGGACAGACACTTTTGTCTGAATTGACAGAGCCATCGTTGTTTTTTACAAAAAATTCCTTTCCTTTTTTCTGAGGCATTTCAGAATAATCATCCATAGCCTCTGTTGTGGAATCCTGCGGGGGTTTGCTTGTGATATGCATTACCTCACTTTTAATTATCTCTGAAATTCCTTTATCTTTTTGATCTTCATATGTACCTTGTTCTAGGAAGTTAGACGATTTTCTCTTCTTCTTCTTTCTAGTGAGGGAAGATACAGATTGGCTGTCATCAATGAGGCGTGCTGCCATTATAGATTCAGTCCTGACAGTGGTTTGATCCTCATTTTCAGTAACAGAAGGAAATAACCCAGCTGCTGGATTTATTTTGTCAGTAGGACCTTTGCCATGTGGAGGTACCATCACCTTCATCTGTCTATGTCCAGGACAGGCTGAATGCATTGCATCTTGAGAAACAGGTAATAAATCAGACACTTTACATTGTGTTTCTTCCATTGACTGACATAATTCTGAATAGCTAGTGAAAGAACTCAGTGATCTTTTAATTTGTTTAATATCACATGACTTGCGGATGTTGAACCTGGCCTAGCTGCCTGGTAAATTTCTGATGATGGTATGAAATCACTGATGTTACTTTTGCAGGTTGATACCAAACTATTATAGGTACCTAGTTCCACAACTGATTTCTCAGATATATTCTGTGCCAATTCATCCTCATCAGGCACTTCAAACGTCTTCCTCTTTGTGGTTTCTATTAAATCATTATTTTTGTGGCTTACTTTAAAAAACATTTCTTCTTTTATATTCTCTGAAGAAAGTTTAAATAAACCATTGTCACTTATCTCAATCAACTTTGGATTACTGACACTTGATTTTTTTCTGCTTGAATGAGATACCATGCAATACTCAGATTTATTTTCTCCATTCTGTATTTCCTCACTGTAGGAAAACTGTCCTACTGTCTTCTCCTGAACCTCTTTCTCAGAAACCAAGGTGACACTTTCAAGTACTGCTTTCTTTTGTCTAACACGCCTTGGCCCAGGGGTGGGAGGCCTATAAAAGCGAGGCTTGATATTATCCTCAGGTACACTGCCTACATCTAGATCTGCAGAATTGCTCTTCATACAGGTGTTACAACCAGCAGTTTTTAAATCAGACTCTGATTCTTTGTCTGACACTTCTGCATTGAATTGCTGTAGTGAGTCTCCCTCTTCTTTACTGTAGCTCTTCAAAAAAAGAGTATCTTTTGGTTTTATATGTTCTGATACATTTACATTGGATGAGTCTTCTGCATGCATTGCAGAATTGCTAACGGTGGTATTTTTATCAGCACGACTTACAGTGGTTGTCCATTTAATGGTTTCTTCCTCTTTAATTTTGAATCGAACTTTCATTTCCACTGTGATACTGCCATCTTGATTAAGGTGAACAGATTTCTCAATGTCATCTTCATATTGTGCCACAGATAAGTCTTCGCCAGTAACTGACTGATTTCCTCCTATATCATTATGACTGTGAGGAACACAGGAAGAATCTGAGTTGTTATCATTCAAGTTGTTATCATTGCTGGACCCTTTATCAGAAGACACTGAGAATATCTGAGATCTTGAGCTAGACCCCATTTCAGCTCTCACTAGCAATAATTACATTGAAAGAACCCATATTCATTCAAGTAGATGGAAAGTAGAGCAGGCAAATATCATACATAACGATCCAGATGGAGAGACAGCAGATAGGCAGCAAAGGAAGAGAAAAGAAGAAAGGAGAAAAATTAGTACAAAATACGTACAATAGTACAATAGGTTCTTTCTAATGCCAGAGCTGTAGTCTTATTTGAAGCTCCAAAGCCTAAAAAAGTACTAAATGCTCTCATTTTATACATAGTTACGAGCTGAGGGGTTGTCTTGAACCATTCAAGGGATTCACAAGCCCTCACTTGTTTGGGCTTCAAGCTGCCAACTTCACTTCTTCTCCATGCCTTAGTGAAGAAATCATTTTATATTAATTCTTACAGTTAGTGCTAAAATGTGTCAGTCAAGGTGAATATATATCTCCCTGGGCTTAATCCAGCAATCTACAGCATGTGAGTAATTACTGTGAGTGGTGTCATTGACACATGAATAAAGGGTTCAGATCCAATGCCCTGGACCAGCCTTTTATAGAGAAGTAAACATTGAAGCCCTTGAACTTCTCATAAAATCCGAATTTAAATCATGATATTCTGAGATACATTTTATGCTACAGTACTGCAGACAATAACACAGAACTCGGCAAAGCCAATGAAAATACTTACAGACTTCAACGAATGTTGAGTATGGCCCGATATGTGTTTACATACATATTAAACACTCCCAAAATATGTTTTAATAACTTAATATTTTAATAAAATATGTTTGTAATGACTTGGCTTTTAAAAAAAATATATTTCATTTCTCTCTAGCATTTGTCACTGAAGGGATGAGAGACAAAAGAACATGAGACAAAAATAAGATTTTGCTGTCTTCCAAAAAGTTCTGCATGTGCGAGCGAAACAGTGCAGGTACACCCACACAAAGTCATCCACAGCTGCTACTGATACCTACATATATTGAAGCCACCATCTAATAGACAGGTTTCACTTGTCTTTTAACACATGTAGTATTACCTTATCTACATTGCTTAAATTTAAGCTTTTTCTCTTTTTTCCTCAAGTGAGTCACAAATAGTCTTATATCAAGACTTTCACAGCTAGCATATTACCATTATAGCTACAAGTCTATAATTTAAGGCAGAGTGCCTTGCAAGTTTCCCAGGCATATGCTTTACCATGAACTGAGTCAGAAATAAAAGTTTGTACTAACTCCTCTAACACAGACCAGACCTTATGCTTCCTAAAGTAAAAATCTCACTTTCTCTGTCTCAGGAAATGGAATTGGAACAAAGTGCCTGAATTTTAATTTTTCAGGGTCTCACTTCAGTGATGTCTCCTATAGAGGATATTTCTGAATTTCTCAAGTTAAAGACAAAAAGAGAGTTGTGTTGTTGGGTTTTTTCCTCTCTCTTTCTGTAATTGCCCTTAACTAAGGATTAGAAGAGTGAGCTTATCAGATTCTGAGCTACTCACATTTTCTACAATTGCAAGGTTTAATCTCTGTCTCAAAGCAAAATTTGGGTAGGATTTTTTTCTTTCTGCAGCACTTTCATTCTCAAAATCTTCCTATTCACTCTCTCTCAAGCTGTGCAAGCCAAAGAACACGAAGACTGAGAAAAACTGAAATGAATAGTTTGGTGGGGACATAATGGTGGGGACATAATAAACTGCGAGGGATGTGGAAGAAACTCCTTTGAGTAAGTGGAAGCCAAGTGTCTCATACATCAATGTGCTCTGTGACACAGTCAAGTTTACTGTTGAGAGCCTCGGTACAGAAACAGTTACAGCATTCCGTGGGCTCTCCAGTACAGCATGCAGCTCTATCAAGCGTACAAGGTACCTCTGGATTAAACAAGTTTCCCTCTAGACAGTATCTCTGCCCTATGGGATGCTCTAATGCTCAGGATTCCCACACAATCTAAAGCTCTGGTACCACAGCACTTTGTTCCTCTCAACCTCAGGATATAGCACTAGAGTGGCTTCTCTCCAACAACTCCTCATGTTCTTGATCATCCACTGGACACTTTACACTCTTACTGACCTTGTCAGTAGCACAACTCCATAAGTAATCTAAGGGAAAGTACATATTTGTGTATCTTTTCACAAACTTATCCAAAAAACATGTATCTCAGCCACAAGAATATAGGAAAGGATGACACCCTGTTTAGACAAAAGCAGTTTCAGAAGCATGATAATTTTGCAAGTAGATGGGTGCTATGATATTTTTCCTTTTTATGTGGAGCATGGGACATGGGAAAGTGAAAGTCATGACAATGATAAGTGAAACTTCCACTTGCTAAGGTAAGATCTGAAACCACACAAAAGTTCTGCTCAATAAACTCAGTTAGTTAAAAAGCCTGAAGTAGCCTGTGGTTTCTCTTTTACCATTACCACTATTTACTGTGACACTAAAAAATTAACAACCATGACAATCAAGTGCACTAATATAAAATATACTTACAGATTTGTATCCATGTTCTAAATAAGTCTGTTTGAAAGAAAATATGCACACTAGCTGAGTACTTAGAAACTTACATTTTAGAAAGAACAATAACACTTTGATCTTTCTTATGCTTATAAAGGAGTCAAAGCAGATGGCCTTTTTGAATATCCTAGATCCCAGTAAGATTGTCATGGTTTACGTCTTATGCTGAGAGAGATAAACCAATTAATAAAATACAAATTAGTTCAAAGAACTTACTATTTTCACTTTCTGACTTGACATTTGCTTTTGGGTACACACGATTTGCAATGCCAAGCAATTTAGCAGGCCGTGAATACCCAAGAGAATCATAATTGCTTGGTTTAAAAGGCTCTCTCCCCGCTGCGACTACAGCTCCAGAGCACAATATCAGAGCCTGAAGATTAGGAACCTGGGGGAAAGAAAAAAAAGTAACATTAAATTCTCTGCCTTAGTAACCACAAAAAATAGTGTAAGAGAGTTATCCTTTTCATACTTTAATATCTTCACTTCTTAGTCTCTACATTAGTTTGCAGCAAGCTATTAAATATGTATCACAGCACAGAATTAATTTTTCAATTTCTATAAGGCAATTCCTACCTCTGTGAGGGTATATCTAGTTATACCAATACATTAGAAAAAGACTTCAAGAAGTAACTTGGATCCACATGAAAATTTTCTTGCGATTTAAGTGTTTGAGTATGTAATTTGGTTTCATCGTTCCACAGTGACTCTTCACAGCCACAAAATAAGAATATGCATTTGGAAGAAGGTATACATATGAACATGTATTTGGAGGAAGAATGGGGTAATTCAGAATACACCACAAGTACTGGGCCTGTAAAGCCACAGAGGAAAGGGACAGAATCACAGAACAATACACATTGGAAAAGGTCATGTAGTCTAACCCTCTGCTCAAAGCAGGTCTGACTGGATCAAGGTTCTTAGAGCCTTATCTCAGTTCTGAATTTTTGTGTCAAAATATATTGCAAGATAAGGCTTGCAAACTGCATTTCACTGACTTATAGGTGATATGGACAGTTTCCTAACCTAATGCAGAATTTCACCAAATGGTGCATAAACACGACATTTTCCTGAAATCTTGGAGCTCTGCATGGAATTCTCTTTCTAGATACCTGTTAGATACAATCACAACTGCTTTTCTGTGATTAAACAACACACAGATAAAACACAGATAAAAGTGAGAGAAAATTATATAAAACGGCATGTGAGGTGAAAATCAAGATTATTAGTGCTGCGTCATCTAGGTTTAGAGGTACAGAACTTGGTCCATAGTTTGAAATCTATATGACACAATGGGTGTCATAGTTCCAAGTCATTAAAGGCAAACCACTCTGTACTTGTATAATGATAAAATATGTGTGGCTAATAGATGCTACTTATCTTATTTTTAAAACATTAAAAAATCACATATAAAAAGCATTAAGACTACAGGAAGTTTCTGTGCAAATGGGTAAAAATATAGAATTGAGATCATGCTTGAAAGACACCTGATTAAGAAAAGTGTTTTTCATGTTGGCTTAAAATAAAATGCCCTCACTTGCTTCTCTCTGATCACAAGATTTCAGTAGATTTCCTCCAGGCTAGCAGCTTTTCTGAAGGGGAAAAGGCATAGAAAGGAAACTGCTGGAATTCAGCACATCAGATCTTACACCAGGCCAGTGTCCCAAGCTTATAACTGATAAAATTACCTTTGTAATTAAAAATAATCTAGAAGCAATCCTATTGTACGTATTCATCTTTATTCTCACCTTTCTCCCATCAGTGGTATATAGTTTCACAACTGGATATTGCATTAACTCACTCATATAATCCAAAAAGGCCTCAAAGGTTTGTGTATTTTTCTTTCCCAAAACTATGGTGCGCCTGAGTCTTACATCTCCATTTTTGAAAACAAGCATCTTTTTGGGAGTTGTTATTTTACTTTCTCGATGGCCAAATCCATCTTCATTTTCCCTTGCTAATTGCACAGCTCGACGACGAGCGCTGACAGGCCTGCTGATCTGCCAGGGAAGTAGCTTTTTGCTAGCCTGTTCCAGGTTGATGGGCTTCATTTTCCTCTGATGGGAGCAAATGTAAGATTTTCCATCTTCAAGATCCTCCAAATTGGTGATGCTATGTCTCCCTTTTGGTGTACTAATATTCCTTACTCCAAAAGGTAATGGAATCCGTTTGGATAAACTGTCCAGCAAGGCATCAAATGTTTTGTAAGACCGGTTGTTAATCACCATGTTGATCCCATTAAACTGAGGATCTCCACTTTTATAGAAACAGATCCGTTTTGCCACAACAGGCTCAGTAACATTGAAATGGCGCACGATTAAACTCTGTTCACTCTCAGAGGAGTTAGGCTGATTCACCGAGTAGCTAGTTGAAGGTGTTTCACTCATTTTGACAGCAATCTGGAAGAAAGAGGACATGGGTGTAAAACTTTTCTTATGACTAGTAATAATATGGTCTTCATTTTGAAAGGTGCAGAAAGAGAATTTATAAGAAACCAACAGCAGCAAGTTGTGCCAAAAATCATTGGATTTAAATGGATCCAAGCTGTTATCTATAAATTCCACAAAGACTCCAGTACTGTCAGATTAAGTTAGCATAGCTCAACTTGCAAGTATTCCCAAAACTCCCCAGTGTAATTTCAAATATCTTATCATTTTGGGACAAGGAACATTTTCATAGAAGAAGTTACTTGGTCAGTCCAGTTTTCTTTCTTAAGGATGAAGTTAATGACAACATTTTATATATAAGATGTTAGAAAAATCTTTATTAGGAGGGAGAAGCTCGTTCCTAGGCATGAGCCATAATCAGTCCAAAATAACAAAACTGAAAGACAATACAAATCATTCTGACCTCATATACTACTTTTTTTACCAGCACAAATTGATTGGAGTCAGAGAAAACGCTCCTGATTTTCTACAATGTAAACTGTAGCAGAATAAGGCCCAAAAAACATGTTTTAGAATTAAGTTACATCATATATTGACAAATCATTTGTTTTTCTGTTACAAGTTTTATATTTCATGATACATGAACTGCTACAATATTTGAATTCATACTGAGGGATAAAACTACTGACCAAATAAGTCTTTTTTAGTAAGAGAAAAGTCTTTAAATCCTTTAAAAAACAAACAAGCAAAAAAATCTGATATTCTTCAGTAGAAGCAGCCTTTAAATTGAAACATTTAAATACCAGTCTTCTAAAATACAGATTTGTTCTGACAACTATAGCAACAGTGTTCATGCTTGAAAATAGAGTAGTCTCACTACAACCTCTCCATTTAAATTCAGTCTACATACAGATACTGTAATAAAAACCCTTTAAATGAATAAAAGTGCTTTATCTTAATGATTGATTTGCTTTGACTGGAACACAGGAACATAGGATAGAAATGGCTAGTCAACTGATCAGGTTCAAGGAAGCAGTTTTAGTAGAGTTTTACTGGAAAGCAATAGAGCAGTCTCAGAGAATGTTTGTCATCAAAATGATATAAATTAATTCTTTGACAATGTCACCTTGATTTAACTGCCATATTGACTAATGAAACAAACTCTCTGGCTACTACATATTTTTCTTAATGAAAGTATGGAAAGCAATATTTTCACTATTTCACTACTACACACATCAGTTCTGAAACTGATAAGAAAATGTTGCCATTTTTCAAGACAGTCAAGGTTCATATAAAGGCGTATTTGACAAGATTTTATCTTACTGTGTGCTTACAGCCTTTCCAATAACACACGGTTTTCAGCGTGGGTGTTTTGCCTTCACTAAGCATTAATAACTTTTAAAATGTTCATTATTTTGAACAATGATCAGAGGACAGGGAAGAATTTCTTCTTTTAATACATTATTTATGCTGTACATTGTACTCTCATTAAGTGCTAAAACTGAAAAATAACCAAACAAACAGGTCTGCACTAGAATGATGTACACAAAGATTGATTTAGGTAATCACGATTCCATTAAATAAATGAAAATACAAATAAATTTAAAACCTGTACATGCTTAATTAAAGAATATGCCGGAAGACATTTTCAAGCTTGGCTGCAACAACCTATACAATCCCATCCACGGCGGCGAATGAATTGGCTTACTTTCTTTGCTAAGAAGCAGCTGTACTTCAAGTGAAATCACTGAGAGCTGTATTTGATCACCTTTTTTGACACATGTATTCATTAGCTGCCTAAATTTTCATTACTTCTCTAAACTGAGAGGTTGACAGGTGAGTTAAGACTAAGGACACAATTTGAACCAGCCATTTTATGCTTTGCACATCATTCTGTTTATACTGCTATTCATAGAGTCATAGAATCATGGGCAGGGATACCTTCCACTAGTTGAGGCTGCTCAAAGCCAGATCCAACCTGGCCTTGAATGCTTCCAGGGATGGGGCATTCACAACTTCTCTGGGCAACTTCTTACAGTGTCTTATTCCTAGAGGAAATCCATAAAAGCATTTTTATTGCTGCAGCACAAAATTTCCTTCTTGCTTTGCAGAGGAAATATTCTATGTCAATGAAAGCATCAATGACAGTAGTTAAAGTTCATGAGTGAACTGAATGTTGGGTTACTGCATTTAACTGGCAAGATGACTTTAGCTCATTAAGAGAGTCCAGTCCAGGATCTCTGGGAAAGGGGAGAAAACTGTTAAGGCATCATCATGGACAGAAACAGAAATGAGCAGACATAGCTCCACAGCTTCTCACCCTTTATGAAAATGAAGTGGAATTTCATTTACTCATATGGTTATTCACAAGAGAGAAACTAGGTGGATTTTCTCATGAGACTACTGATAATAATGGCTTTTGAATAAAATACAATGTATTTTACATAAAGATAATTATTACATTGAGTCTTGATACTGTGGAAGTAACAAAATCCAAAACAAAGAGAGAATACACATACAATCAAAAAGATAATTTTCGTTATGAACATGAAATAATTTGAATTCACAAAAGTAACTAAGATAAAGAAGTTTTCCTGAGTAAAACATAAAATTAATGATAAAAGAGATATATAGTTTTGGCAGAGAAATGAGAGTTGCATAAAACATCATGTATGAATATTTTCTAATATTAATTAATAGTGGAAATTGCATCTTTCAGATATTCTCTAATTGCATTTTACAAATAGAAAACATTTCAACAAATGAATAATCAACATATTGTAGAAGTTACTATTTGATACTACAGGTCATCACACTGTAATAGTTTCATTTTATCTTAAGTAGTATCAATTTTTATACTTAAATGATTTTACTCTAGAATTAGGAAATAGCTGATATTACATGATACAGAATGTCTATTAAGATAATTTGGCACTTACAATATAATGATTTTTTTTTTCCAAGAAAAACAGAATTCAGAATTGAATCCCTTTACCTCTACCCTCATAAGCAAAATCACTCATTCAAAGCTCATGCACAAAGTCATTCAATTTTATAAAGACACTAAGTGGAACATTTTGTTCTAAATATATAAGAATATGTCTAATTCCATATAGTTTATAAATACTATATATAATTTCATCATACTCACCCACAGTCACATCCAATGCATATAAAAGAGTAGTTAGCTTGTTTTAAGATTTATAAATTGTACGTGTGATTGTCTATGCCATATGAAATGAACATCCTTAGTCTTATTCCAAGTGCACTCAGCTAGAAAAAACATCATAATCCATTTGCTTAATCTCAGCTAATGTTAATCACCAGACCAGTTCATCTTAGGTAGCCATTGTTCAGAGCAGAGTATCTAACATCTCATTCAGCAAGTCCTCTTATATTAATTTTAAACACTATTTACCTTTTAAATATTTCAATTATGTAATTTTCTGTTTATTTAGATTGCTCAAGAGACTCACAGAACCACATAAAATAAAAATGTGAGTGGGAAAATGTAAATCATCTATCTTCTTATCAGCATAGGGTTATCCTCCAGACTAAATCCTTTAGTGATATAAATTTTAAATATATTAAAATGGATCTTCTACCACTCACCTTCTGAGATTATCTATTAACTGTCTCCTGGCATTAATTCTTGCTTTTGTTCAATCATTTGGTCAAGATGATCCTGTGTGTTAAAGATTCTCCCAAATTTTCTCTATTCAGACAACACAATGAAAACAGCTCCACAGTTTCTTTCACAGCACTCAATAAAACATGACAGTCTGAAGGAGTTTTGTCATCCATGAGGCATTCTTCATTTCAACGTGTTGGAAAAAGGGCAATGCAACAATTACGTGTGTGAATATGGTTTATGAAGGGACAGGAGAATTATATCTAACCGTGGCTTAATTGTACCACAGAATGTGTTGAGTTTTTCTCTTTTCCAGTGGAAATATTATGTCCCTGGATGGTAACTGTTCCATCTAATTGCTACCAGACGTATAATCTGATTTTGAGCTTCTTTGCTTAATCAGGATTACAGCAAGCTCTCAAAACTAGGTGTATAGAACAGTAACAAAAACACTTTTCAGTAGACACTACCACTGTATGCAATAATGAGTTTTTAACTATTTTCCTTAGACAAGAATTCAGCCCTCATAGAAGTTTTAAAACACCATATCAGTTCCACTTTCATAAGATGCACAAGCACAAACATTACATTGTAATCTTGCACAGATATTTTCCTATAAGCACTGCTTTCTTAAATGTTATATTAATATAATTATTTGGGTCCTTAGGCTACCTTAGCTAATGTACTGCTTGTACTCCAGTCAGTATTCTGTTGTTTACATTTGTTCAGAAGATGAACAAGTGCAAATGCTATGTATTATTCTGATGTCTTAGAACTTATACATGAATTTATTAAAGAGTTGGTTTTCTTTGAAGTGCAGGATTTAAAATACCATTGTTACTCTCATTAGCTTTCCAGTGCATGCAAAGCCACTTTCGATAACCACGTAATCCATCAGTAGTTTCTGTGTACCGCTAGAATTTGAGACTCAAGAGATAATACCTATAGGACCTGGTGAAGATGATGAACAACTGTCACCATTTGACTGTGTTAATGCCCTTTGATTCCTGAGACTTCAAAAGGCTTACAATGCTTCTGTCCAGACATATGTAACTTAAAAGCTCCACTGCATTCTTTCTTGTACTACAAAAACTCCATATATTCTGAAAATATAAAAGAAATCATCATCTATATACTAAAAATAGCATCAATAAGAATTATGTTTAAATGAGACTTAAAGCTAACAAGCCACAAAAAATTAATAAAAGGCCTATAGCAATTAGCATAAAAACACTTTTCATCCATTCTTGTGGGCAACTTGATTGATGTCAATGAAACTCCTAAAATGATGTGTTAAGAATTGAGTGTTAATATTTGGAAAGCAGTTGCTCTTTTTACTTAAACCATTCACAAAATAAAACTGGAGAAT